TGTGGGCAAGCCTTCCGTGTCGTTTAGTTCTCCTGAGCGAGTGCGTGGGATTACAGAAATGTGAGCCTGCACCCAGTCACGTTTTAAGCGTCTTTTGTCGGAACTGCCAAATTTTTGTTAAAGGGTCTGACCCCATTAAGCTCGATATCAAAGAAAGTCTAAAACTATGTTGAACTCAATCAATGCGGAGCCCTGAAATATTGGGCCAAAATTCGAGTTGGAGGAATTCTTCTGCGAACATTGAGATTCTAACGGATATATCTCAGTGTGGCCGAAATTTATTGGCAAATAACGTTCCCGCGACTACCGCAGAAAATTGGCAGAGACAAAACAACACGAAAGTATGATGCATTAACAAGAGACTTATGGCGGCGCAGGTGCATGTGGTTGCTCGCACCTGTAATGCGCCAACACGTGTTGTGGCGAAGGTGGCGGGATCAGTGAGTCAGGAGGGTCGAGACCAGCTGGCTCCCACGTGAGAGCCGCTGGTACGTCTCTACTAAAAAGATTACAAGAAGGAAACTAGCGCAGGCGATTGCGTGTGCTGGTAGTCCCACTACTCGGGCGAGTTGAGCGAGGAGAAATGGCCTGAACCCGCGGGGGCGGACGGCTTGCAGTGACTGGATCCGGCCAGCGGCCAGCTGGGAGCAGAGCGAGACTCACATCTCGAAAAAATAAAAAAAGATGGCCGCCGGCGCTGCTCAAGCTGTATCCCAGCACTGTGAGGCCGAGACAGGTGGACACGGAGCTCAGGAGATCGAGACCATCCTGGCGTAAGCAGCGGTGAAACCCCGGTCTCTACTAAAAAAATAGACGGCGGGGCGCAGTGGCTCAAGCCGGGTAGGTCCAGCACTTTGGGAGCAGAGCGATGTGCCACAGAAGGGCAAGAGAGGTCGAGAGCGGACGGGGTTTCACCGTGTTAGCCAGGATGGTCTCGACCTCCTGACCTCATGATCCGCCCACCTTGGCCTCCCAAAGTGTTGGGATTACAGGTGTGAGCCACTGCACCTGGCCGCATAAGTCTTGTTAATGTCATCTTTGTGTTTTTTTGTCTGCCATTTTCTGGTAGTGGAATTATTTGCAATAATTTGCCACACTAGATATATAGTTAGAATTAATGTTCAGGAAAATTCAATCGAATTTGTGGCCAATATTTAAGGGCTCCGCAATGATTGGTTTCAACATAGTTTAGATTTTTTGATATGAGCTTAATGGGTAGAACATTTAACAAAATATTTGGCAGTTCTGTGTGTACAAAGACGCCTAAACGTGACTGGGTGCAGTGGCTCACATCTGTAATCCCAGCACTTCAGGAGACTAAGACAGAAGGCTTGCCTGAGCCCAGGAGTTCAAGACCAGCCTGGGCAACATAGCAAGACCCCCTCTGTTCAAAAAATGTAAAAAGTTAGCTGGGTGTGGTGGTGTGCGCCTGTAGTCCCAGCTACTCAGGAGGCTGAGGCGAGAGGATGGCTTGAGCCCAGGAGGTCAAGGCTGCAGTGAGCTCTGATCGTGCCACTGCACTCCAGCCTGGGTGACAGAGGGAGACCCTCTCTCTAATGAATAAAAATATAGACCTTGTCTCCAGTAGACTTTGTGTCTAATAGACCCTGTCTCTAATAAATAAAATTAAAGGCCCCTGAACCACCCCTGGGGTTGTGCATCTTCCATTCCCTGCGCTCTATTGTGTTAACTCCTGTCCATCCTGTGGGACCAGTTCAAATGCCACTTCCATCTAGGAAGCCCTCCCTTGACAACCTAGATGCATTCGGGTCGCCTGGTTCATACCCTTGTAACTCCTGCACCACCAGCCCCAGCCACCTCCCTGCCGTCGCCTCCTCCCTCTCCCCCACACTCTGTCTCAGCCACACAGCCTCCTTGTTGTTCTTAGAACGTGCCAAGTCAGTGCCTGCCTTTAGGCCCTTGCTCTTGTTCTGCCTCGAACACTCCCTCCAAATGCACCCATCGCTGCCTCCCCACTCCCTCCAGACCTTGGCTCAGTGTCAGCTCCTGAGAGAGCCCCTCTCTGCCCTGGGCCCTGCAGCCCCAGCCCCTGTGCTCGGCATCTACTCTCTGTGGCTTCTGCCTCTGCCTGCTGTTGCATGGTGTGTTTATTTATTGCTCTCTTCCTTTTTGGGACCCACCAGAGGGTAAGCCCAGGAAGGCAGAAGCCATCAGTATTTGAGTCACTGCTACATCCCCAGAACCTAGAACAGTGCCTGCCCCCCTCCCACTATGGGCACCCAGTAAGCATCTGTGGAGCAGATGACAGCGGCAGGCACTGAGCAGGCGTCCATGGGTCCTCTCTGCAGGTCAGATTCGGAGGAAGAGCGGTGGCAGCACTCAGGGATGCGAAGCCGGAGCCCCCCGCGGTCCCAGTGGTGCTCGAGGGATGGGTCCTCTCAGTCAGACTCGGGAGAGGAGCAGTCACGGGGCCAGTGGGCTCACCGGCGACGGCGTGCGCGCTCCTGGTCCCCTAGCTCCTCAGTGTCCAGCTCTGCGTCTCCACGGCGATCCCAGAGCCCCCGGGCGGCCGCGGCCGCCCTGAGCCAGCAGCAGAACCTGCAGGAGCGGCTGCGCCTGCGGGAGGAGCGGAAGCAGCAGGAGGAGCTGATGAAGGCCTTCGAGACGCCCGAGGAGAAGCGCGCACGGCGGCTGGCCAAGAAGGAGGCCAAGGAGCGCAAGAAGCGGGAGAAGATGGGCTGGGGTGAGGAGTACATGGGCTACACCAACACCGACAACCCCTTCGGAGACAACAACCTGCTGGGCACCTTCATCTGGAACAAGGTGGGCCCTGCCGGGTGGCGGCCTCTGTCCCTGTAGCATTTCCGCTGTTTCTGGAGACCCCAACACTCGAGACACTCCCAGCCCGCACTCAGTCGTGAAAGATCGCATGAGCCAGCTTCTGCCGCCATCAGCTTTTTTTTTTTTTTTTTGGACACAGGGTCTCGCTCTGTCGCCCAGGCCGGAGTGCAGTGTGTGATTGTGGCTCGCTGCAGCCTTGACCTCCTGGCCTCCAGCGACCCTCCTTCCTCAACGTTTTGACTTTCTGGGACCACAAACACCACCACCATGCCCGGCTAATTTTGTATTTTTTTGTAGCGATGGAGTCTCACTGTGTTGGCCAGGCTGGCCTCGAACTCCTAAGCTCAAGTGATTTTCCCACCTCAGCCTCCCAGAGTTCTGGGATTACAGGTGTGAGCCACTGCGCCCGGCTCACCATCACTTTCTTGCCATTAGCTGTGTCTCTTGCGGTGTAAGCTTCAGCTATTCTTTGCCCCGAACACCAGCCCAACCTGAAACCTGTCTGGAGAGCCAGCTCTTGGCATCGTGTACCCAGGACAGGGTTCCACAGTTCCAGGTGCTCTGTCGTTTTGAGCTGGTTGTTTCGTTCTGCGCCTCCCATGTAACCAGTAGCCACACTGGTGGCAAAAAACAACAGAACTTTTCATCTCTTCGTTCTGGAGGCCAGAAGTCCAAAATCAAGGCGCGGGCAGGTGTGGGCAGGACCGCACTCCCTCCGGGGGCCGAGGGGAAGCCCCTCCTGCCTCTCCCAGCTCCCAGTCATGGCTGGTGATTCCTGAGCCCTCCCTGGCTCGTAGCCGCAGAACCCGGCCTGTTCCTGTGTTGCGTGGCTGGCTCTCTTCCCATCTCTGTCTCCACACGGCCTTCTCCTCCGTGTGTCTGTGTCTGAATGTTCCTTTTCTCATGAGGATACCAGGCGTTGGATGAGGGCCTGCCACCTCCAGGATGCCCTCATCTTACCTACGTCTGCGAGACGTCATCACTTTTTTTTTTTTTTTTTTGAGACGGAGTCTCGCGCTGTCGCCCAGGCTGGAGTGCAGTGGCCGGATCTCAGCTCACTGCAAGCTCCGCCTCCCAGGTTCACGCCATTCTCTGGCCTCAGCCTCCCGAGTAGCTGGGACTACAGGCGCCCGCCACCGCGCCGGGCTAGTTTTTTGTATTTTTTAGTAGAGACGGGGTTTCACAGTGTTAGCCAGGATGGTCTTGATCTCCTGACCTCGTGATCCGCCCATCTCAGCCTCCCAAAGTGCTGGGATTACAGGCTTGAGCCACCGCACCCGACCCACTTTTTTTTTTTCTTTTTGAGACAGAGTCTCACTCTGTTGTCCAGGCTGGAGTGCAATGGCGCGATCCTGGCTCACTGCAACCTCTGCCTCCCAGGTTCAAGTGATTCCCGTGCCTCAGCCTCCCAAGTAGCTGGAATCACAGGCGTGTGCCACCACACTCGGCTCATTTTTGTATTTCTAGTAGAGATGGAGTTGAACCATGTTGGTCAGGCTGGTCTCAAGCTCCTAACCTCAAGTGATCCGCCCGCCTTGGCCTCCCAAAGTGCTGGGATTACAGGCGTGAGCCACCGTGCCTGGCCAAGACCTCCTTTCACATAGGGTCACGGTTACAGCTGCAGAGGTTCAGATGGGGATGTGCCTGTGGGGGACACAGCTCATCTGAAGCAGCGCCCACTTGTGGAGGGGGTGGAGCAGGCAATGGGTGGGCTGGGCCAACTGCACCTGCTCGCCGGTTGCGCAGTTGGGAGCTGTGGGGTCCCCAGGTGGCTTCTGCCCAGTGTCGTCTGAACGCAGCGGGCTCCTTCCGCCTTGGGGCCCTCACCCCGCCGCACCCCTGCCTGGCCATGCTCTGCCCCTTCCCGGGCTGTTCTCTTTTGTCAGGCCTCAACTGACATGTCCCCTCTTGAGAGAGTCCTTCCTGGCCCCTTGCTCCCCAGCCCCCCCCAAGTTCTTTATTGAGGCACCCACTGCTGCCTGGCACTTCATCGCCACTGTGTACTGTGTGCCTGCAGTGTGCTGGGCACCGCCGTGAGCCCTGGGAGGGCAGCCGTGGAGGAGGAAGATGTGGTCATCATTAACACTTGTGGAAGTGGCCCCAGGCTGGGCTGGATAGACCACAGAGTGGCCTGGGCATCTAGGGGGTGGTCCCCAGCCGGGCAGCCTGTGTCCCTGGAGGCAGGTTCTTCTGGGTGGCAGGGGGTCTTGGAAGACCCTCATGGCGACGGAGCGCCTGGAACCTGGGGAGGGTGGTTGGGAAGTGGGGGCTCCGCACCAGGCTCCTAGACAGCTGCTGGAAGAAGCCAGCTTTGAGGGGCTCCAGGCTGGGACGGTGCCCATCCATGGCTGCCCCGTGCCCTGCTGTGTGGGCCGGGCCCCATGACCCCACAGGTTTGCTTTCAGAGCTGCTGCTGCCCCCACTCACTGTTCCTGCCCCGCCCCACGTGCACTGGGGGACCCTGACTTGCTGAGGTCATGGCCTTCACATCCGAAGCAGCCAGACTCCCGGGTAAAGTGAGTCAGCAGGCCCGGAGCAAGGCTCTTCTGTTGGGGGCTGGGGAGGCTCTGATCGAGGCCCTCCTCGATCAGGCCCCAAGCAAGTCTCTCCTGTTAGGATTGGGGTGGCCCTGAGTGAGGCCCCTGTTGGAAGTTGGGGTGGCCCCTTCTTCCCCTTTGCATACACCTCACTCCCAGTGGGGCTCCGTGTCTGCTGAATTGGATCCACTTGGTTTCAGGAGCATTGAGGAGGGGTTGGAAGACGTGCAGTGCGGGCAGGTTGCCTCTCTCTGCAAAACGAGGGCCGTGGTCAATCTCTGGGACGAAGGAGCCGAGGAGGGGGGCGAGGGGGCAGGTCTGTGCTCAGACGGGTGTGCTTGGCGCTTCCAGGCCCTAGAGAAGAAGGGGATCAGCCACCTGGAGGAGAAGGAGCTGAAGGAGCGGAACAAGAGGATCCAGGAGGACAACCGACTGGAGCTGCAGAAGGTAGGCGCCCACCAGCCTGCTGGGCAGGGCCCTCCCTCTCCAGGGCCTGGAGGCCCACCCGCTGTGGCGGAACTTGAGGGGGCTTAGGTGGGAAGTCCCGGGGGCTGGCTTCAGGTAAGGCTGGATCCAGGGTCTCAGACCATGGACCCAGGAAGCCGTTTCCCTCCACCTTGGCTCTGCTGGCCTCGGGCCTTCACTCCCACATGCTCCCTTCAGGGTCGCCGAGAGGACCCCAGCTGCTCTGAGCTGCTGAGTCTCAGGCGGGAGGGCCCTCCCTTCCCAAGGTCTGTCCACCAGCACAGGCATCTCCGGACCAATCCCTGTGCCCAGGGCAGCCAGGTGGGGGCTGGGCCCCCATCGCAGCCCAGCAGACCCCACGGCCCCGGCTGCCCTCAGCCTCCTGTGCCTGCAGGTGAAGCAGCTGCGACTGGAGCGGGAGCGCGAGAAGGCCATGCGCGAGCAGGAGCTGGAGATGCTGCAGCGTGAGAAGGAGGCGGAGCACTTCAAGACGTGGGAGGAGCAGGAGGACAACTTCCACCTCCAGCAGGCCAAACTGCGGTGCGCCGGGGCCCCCTCCCCCGACCCAGACTCGAGCTAGGGCCGGGCACTGGCTGGCACCCTGCACCCTGTCTGGAGGCCACTGCTCTCCCACCCCTCAGGGTCCCACGCGGCACTTCCTGGAACCTTCCCTTCCTGACCCCTTCCCGGGCAGCGGGGCTCCTGCCTCCTGCCCTCCCCCGCTGGACTGGGCGCAGAGGAGACGGGCCCAGGTGTACGGCACCCCACGCCACCATGTGTGCTGGACGCCGGGCCTGCACCGACCGTGGTTGTCCCTCCCACACTCTGCCCACGAGGGCGGCGCCCCTGTCCACCCGGTTTACAGACAAGGAAGCTGAGGCTCCGGGGTATTCCTGCTTGCCTTGGGCCCCGTGGTGGGTGACATCAGGCTCCTCCCAGCTCAGGCCTGCCTGGTGACGGGTTCTCTTGGGTTGGACCAGGGGCTGCCCGCCACACGTGCCCCTGCAGGCCCGGAGCAGAAGCCCTGGCTCTCCAGCCCGAGTTGTCTGCCTGGGGGAGGAGGCGGCTGTGAGGCAGGGACTGCTCTGGCCCCTCAGCCTGCCTCTGCCTCAGCTCCTCCGCTCTTCCCCATCACCGTCCACATAGAAGCCGCCCTCCCGGGCGCATCCCAGAGGCCCTCCAGGAAGCCCTCCCACCTGGCCCACGCTCCGGGCCCACGCTGTGTGCACTTTGCCCTGCTGGCCTGTGCCCTCTGGCTGACCCGGCTCACTCTACCTTGTGCCTCCTCCTCTTCCTGCAGGAAGCCTTCCCTGACCACCCCCATCATGTTAGGCCCCCTCCCCAGCTCCCACTGGTGCAGTCACCCCAAGGGCAGGGCGTTCAGCGTGGAGGGTACAGCCCAGGCTCTGACACCACCTTCCCCGCTTCCCACAGCTCCAAGATCCGCATCCGGGACGGGCGGGCCAAGCCCATCGACCTGCTGGCCAAGTACATCAGCGCCGAGGATGACGACCTGGCCGTGGAGATGCACGAGCCCTACACGTTCCTCAACGGCCTCACCGTGGCCGACATGGAGGACCTGCTGGAGGACATCCAGGTACCCGGCCCCACCCGATGCTCCTCCAGCCTGCACACTCGCCCCCATCCCACCCCAGCCACGCGCGTGCCCTGACCCCCGCCCCCTGCCCCCAGGTCTACATGGAGCTGGAGCAGGGCAAGAACGCCGACTTCTGGCGGGACATGACCACCATCACCGAGGACGAGATCTCCAAGCTCCGCAAGCTGGAGGCCTCGGGCAAGGGGCCAGGTAACTGTGGGCGTGCACCTGGGCTCTGGGGGAGCTGCGGGGGCTGCAGGGTTCACCCGGAAGCCTCAGACTTGCTGTGGGGCCTGGTCTTCTCTTCAGGCCTCAGTTTCCCCAACTGGGGCCTCCCCTTCTGGGCCGAGCCACCAGGGGGCGGCAGCAGCAGGCGGTAGGCCCCGGGAGGGGTGCGGGGGGCGGGCCAGCAGCGTCCAGACCCAGCGTCCGGTAATCGCTGGCCCGGCGGTGCCCGGCCGCGCGGAGCTGCAGGGTTTTCTGCTCGGGTTTCAGTGCTCACGGTGGTCCTGCCTGTGTGGGCAGGTCTCACTCCACGCGGCCGGAAGGCCGTGCAGCCCTGGTTCAGGGCGTTCTGCCTCCCACGGGTCAGTTCATGCTCCTCCAATCTGATGGGCTTTTAAAATCACGTTTCGCTCCCCTCCGTGCGGTTGCACACATATGGTCACCCGGGACGCTCTAAAGCGTCTACCCTGAGCACTGCGGACATTCGGGCTGGGCCGTTCCCTAGGGTGGGGCCTTCCTGGGCACTGCGGGGTGCTGAGCAACGTCTCCGGCCTCCACCCACCCCGGGTCAGGAGCACCCCTAGTCCTGACAACCGCAGATGTCCCAGACATCACCCAGAGTCCCCTGGGGGCAGAATTGCCCTAGATGAGACCCCTGGTATAAAAGCCAACCACAGCAGCCCCGGCCCCTCTCCCCCAAAATCCACACCCCAGCAGCTGCTGTAACAATGCCTGGCTCTCATGGGCCACGTATCCCTGTCAACAGACCGGGTCCTTCCGCTGCCCTCTCTCTCAGGCCTTGGCTGCCACCAGCCCATGGTGGCCGAGGATCCCTGGAGGCTGGGTCTGTGTCATTTACAGCCCTTAGCATGGTCTGTGGCAGGCCCTTCTAGGAAAGAGCCTGTGACTTTCCTCTTTTCCAGGGGAGCTTGTCTTCCCCGGAGGTGGAGGTCACTCAGCCATCCCGTCCCTCCAGTGGTTGCCTCGGTGGGGCGCATCCTCCCGTAACCTCAGAGAGGCAGGGCAGTTCTCCAGCATCAGAGATGTGTCCGTAAGGGTCTTTGTGTGCTCCTGCTGGTGGCAGTGGGGCTGGAGAAAGACTTCTGGGGGCAGCACATTTTCCTTCAGAAGCCCCAGACCCTACAGGCTGGCTGCAGGAAGCCTGGGAGGCATTTCCACCATCGCCTAGGCCCTGCCCTCTCCCATAAGCCTGGGAGGTATTTCCAGCATGCCCCATTGTCCTAGGCCCCAGCCTCTTCCGTCCCTTCCATGGCCTTCTGCCTCCACCACGTCTGCCTCAGCCCACCTTCCCCCTCACACATTACAGCTGGGGACCCCAGGTGGCTTTGGTGTCCTCTGAGGGAGTTTTTCTGATTCTCCTTTCAGCATGATTTCCAGGAGTAGGGAAACGAGGGGTCTTGATTTTGCTGTCCCCCCAGAGACCCACAGAGCCTCTGTCTTGGTCTTCTTAAATTAATTGGGCTTTTTCTTTTACTTTTCATTTTTCAGAGACAAGGTTTTGCTCTGTCGCCCAGGCTAGAGTTGAGTGGCATGATCAAGGCTCACTGTAGCCTCGACTTTCTGGGCTTAGGTGATCCTCCCGCCTCAGCCTCTCTAGTAGCTGGGACTACAGGCACTTACCACCACACCCAGCTAATTTACTTTATTTTACTTATTTTTTGAGAAGGACTCTCACTCTGTCACCAGCCTGGAGTGCAGTGGTGCGATCTCAGCTCACTGCGATCTCCACCTCCCAGATTCAAGCGATTCTCCTGCCTCAGCTGCTCAAGTAGCTGGGACTACAGACGCGTGCCAACACGCCCAACTAATTTTTGTATTTTTAGTAGAGACGGGGTTTCACCATGTTGGCCAAGATGGTCTCAATCTCTTGACCTCATGATCCACCCGCCTCAGCCTCCCAAAGTGCTGGGATTACAGGTGTGAGCCACCGTGCCCAGCCACTTTTTAAATTTTTTTGTAGAGATGGGGTCTCACTGTGTTGCCCAGGCTGGTCTTGAACTCCTGGCCTCAAGCAATCCTCCTGCCTCATCTCCAAAAGGGCTAGGATTAAAGGCGTGAGCCACTGCATACTTTTTCTTTTCTTACAAAATTATTTAAGTTTTTTATTTCTGTACATTATTGGGGAACAGGTGGTGTTGGTTACATGAATAAGGTGTTTTTGTTGTTGTTTTTGGTTTTTTTCTTTTTCTTTTTGAGACGGAGTTTTGCTCTGTCGCCAGGCTGGAGTGCAGTGGCACGATCTCAGCTCACTGCAACCTCTGCCTCCCGGGTTCAAGTGATTCCCCTGCCTCAGCCTGCCAAGTAGCTGGAATTACAGGCGCACCACCACACCCGGGTAATGTTTTGTATTTTAGTAGAGACAGGGTTTCACGATGTTAGCCAAGATGGTCTTGATCTCCTGACCTCGTAATCCACCCACCTCAGCCTCCCAAAGTGCTGGGATTACAGGTGTGAGCCACCGCGCCTGGCCAGTTACATGAACGAGTTCTTTAATGGTGATTTGTGAGATTTTGGTGCACCTAGCTTTTTCTAGGAAGTTCTAACCCTACAGTAGGTTGTGCAGTAGAAAATAGGTGTCATCCCAGCTCAGCCTCATTAGCCTGCCACCCTGTATAGGGCCTGGCCTCTCTCCATGAAACCCCGGGGCCCTTGGCCTGCACCCCCAGCCTCTAGCAGCTGCTGGGGCCCCCCTAAACCCTGTGGGCCCCCTTGTGGGCATTCGGGAGGTGACCAGACATGGAGCAGCACGTCCAGACCGACTTTCTATAAACGCTGACTCGGCGGCGCCTGGCTTCCCGGGAGCTGCGCAGCTGGGCTTTTCTGCTTGGGTTTCAGTGTTCGTGGCAGCCCTGCCTGTCCGAGCACAGCCACGCTCTGCTTGGCTGCGGCTGCCACAGCTTCCATTGCCACTTAGGGCCCAGCAAAGGGGCTGCAGCTCTGGGTGCCGATTCCACGGTCCCAGGTGATTGGCTGGAGGGGACTCGGATTCATCTAGACTCTATCCAGTCCCCTATGGTCTGGGTGTGGGCCTCTTGACCCTCTGTCCGCCAGTGGGGACTGGAGAAGGCAGGTTTTGAGCAGAGTGCCTGCGCTGGTCACCTCCACCTGGTGTGTCCCCAACAGCCATACACCAAGCTGCCTGTGGGCCCAGCACGGTGCGGGGAGCAGCAGCAGCGAGCCTCAGTGCCCGCCTTGGGAAGCTGCCGTCGCTGGATGGTCAGGGAGGGCTTCCTGGCGGAAGGGATGTTCTCACTGAGCATGGAGGATGCGAGGAATTCAGGAGGCGAACGGGACAGAGAAGGATGGGTGGCTGGCAGGAAGCACAGCGCGTGCAAAGGCCCAGAGGTGGCAGGGGTCAGGCATGGGCAGCAAGGGGGCAGGGTTGTGAGGTGAGGCCAGACCCAGCGGGGTGGGTGGCAGTGTCCTCAGAGCAGCCCTGAGGCTGCCGGCATGCCATGTGGTGTGGGCAGAGCACGTGGAGGCAGGCTGGGCTCCAGCCTCCCAGCACCCACTCCCGCCGTCAGCGGCCTCTCTGTCTATTGAGGAGGGACTTGAGCCTCGGGCCCCCGGGCCAGTGGTAGATGCCAGACAGACTCCCTGTAGGATGGGGGGCGGCCCCAGGACTTCCCCAGGGGCCAGCAGGGCGGCCTTCTTTGCCAGGGCAGAGCTCCCTGGATCATTGGGCTTCACAGAGGGAAACCAAGGCCCAGAGAGGGCAAGCCACTTGCCCACAGTCACACAGCCCAGGCTGGCAGAGCAGATCTGAATTCCAGAGAACTTGGCTACCGAGCACACCCCTCACCCCCTCATGGGCTGCCCAAGGCCAGGGCAGAGTTGGGCCAGGTTGGTGGGCCGCGCCCACGACCAGGGTTCCCAGACCCACATGTCAGACTCACCTAGGGAGGTCATTCTCAGGGCTGAGAATGCCAGTCGTGGCCTCCCCGACGCTAGGGGCCTGGGCCTCCAGGCAAGGCAGCATCTGCATTTTAACATGGCTCCCAGCCTCCGCCCACCCCTCCCCTCCGCTGCGGCCAGAGCGGGGGCAACCTGAGACCAGGGAGGAGGCGGTACCCCTGTGAGGGGAGGGAACAGGACTGGATGGGACCCCTGTGGGGGAAGAGTGGGGGAGAGGGACCCCCCCATGGCAGGGGAGGAGGCCCTGATGGGGTGGAGGAGCATCCAGGCAATGTGGAACCACCCCCATGGCCCCACCCTGCTGCAGGTGAGCGCCGCGAGGGGGTCAACGCCTCCGTCAGCTCCGACGTGCAGTCGGTGTTCAAGGGGAAGACATACAACCAGCTGCAGGTCATCTTCCAGGGCATCGAGGGCAAGATCCGCGCTGGGGGCCCCAACCTGGACATGGGCTACTGGGAGAGCCTCCTGCAGCAGCTGCGTGCCCACATGGCGCGGGCCCGGTGAGCACTGGGTGCGGGCACCAGGGGTGGTGCCATCCAGGTGGGGTGGGTTTCGCCCCCTCCTGGGTCCTGGGTGGGGTGGGTCTCGCCTCCTCCTGGGACCTTGTTGGGTGGAGGGGGCAGGAAAGTGCCAACTGGCCGGGGCCCACCTATATGAGTGATGAAGGAGGGCTGGGGGTCGCGCAGGCCCGTCCCCTAGCGGGAAGGCCCCAGGATGCTCCGGTGCCCTCACCTGGAGTCCTGAGCCCCGTTGGTCTCACAGGGCTCCCCAGGAGCTTCTGCCGTTTAACGAGTACTTGGCTCCAGCAGCCATTGCATCACGGGAAGCCCTGAGGCCGCCTGCCTGTTCATGATGCCTTCCACCCAGGCCCGCGCCCTCCCGGCGCTGTTGCCTCCTGGCCTCTGGCTGTGTACAGATTCCTGGAGTGCTTTTGGCACCGCTGTGTAAATACATGTTTCCCTTGCTAATCTGTAAACGTCTCTAAATTTATCATGCTTGTTGGCTGGTGTCCTGCTGGGCCCCTTCTCCTGGCCAGCCCCAGCCACAAGACACTGAGACTCCAACGTGAGACCCAGACCCACCCCTCCCTGCCACAGGATGGTTCTCCGGGTAGCTGGGTCCCCTCGTCCTCGCTCCCATAAGCCTTGACCCTGAACTGGCCAAGCGTCCCAGCCAGAGCCGTGGCTGCTCGCCACCTTCTCAGGGTCTTTGCAGCAAAAAGGGGGGTGAGAATCTCTGTGGGGGTGGGGCGCGGAGCCCCTTCGCCTCCACGTAGGTGACCCCGGCCCTGCGTCCCAGGCTGCGCGAGCGCCACCAGGACGTGCTGCGGCAGAAGCTGTACAAACTGAAGCAGGAGCAGGGCGTGGAGAGCGAGCCGCTGTTCCCCATCCTCAAGCAGGAGCCTCAGTCCCCCAGCCGCAGGTAGGCCCGGCCGGCCGATGCAGATGCGGAACAGGATGGAGGGGCCGTGGGCGGCCTCCGCCCCTCCAACGCTCTCTCCTCCCCAGCCTGGAGCCTGAGGACGCGGCGCCCACCCCGCCCGGGCCCTCCTCGGAGGGCGGCCCCGTGGAGGCTGAGGTGGACGGCGCAGCCCCGACAGAGGGCGACGGCGACGGTGAGGGCGAGGGCGAGGGCGAGGCGGTGCTCATGGAGGAGGACCTGATTCAGCAGAGCCTGGATGACTACGACGCTGGCAGGTACAGCCCGCGGCTGCTCACGGCGCACGAGCTGCCACTGGACGCGCACGTGCTGGAGCCGGACGAGGACCTGCAGCGCCTGCAGCTCTCGCGCCAGCAGCTCCAGGTCACGGGTAAGGGCGGGGCTGGAGGCCAGGGGGCGGGGCCAGTGGGTCGGCTGGGGGCGGGGCTGGAGATGCAGGGGGCGGGGCTCCTCCAGCCTCATTTCCTGGAGGAAGCCCCTGGCGTCAATAGGGAGCTGCTCCATTCTTGTTCCCCGGGTCTCTGAGCATCCGTTCAGTCACCTGCACGTGCCCTGGGGCTTTCACTCATTCATCCTGGGCTTGCTGGCCCGCTGGCCTTGGGGCCACAGGTGGTGGTAGCTTTCACCGGCTGCTGTCCGAGCACTCCCTGGGCGGCCTCCGTCCTAAGACAGAGGAGAAAATACCAGCTTCAGAAAATTCCTGGGCCAGGACCCCCTCGGGGGTCGTGCGTGGGGCTGGACCCCGCAGCCAGGCCCTAACCACCAGGCTCTCCTGCTGCTTGGCGGGGAAGCGCGCTGCACTTGGTCCCCACCCAGGAGAACGATAGATAGGACAACCAAGGTCCGGGGCCCAGGGTGGATAGTGCGGGTCTTAGGGTCCCCCAGGCCCTGTCCGCCACCATGTGCTTTAGCCCGCCCCAGCCTGTTTCCCTTTTGTGGGAGACACCAGTGGCCTCCCCTGTCAGAGAGGGTGGGAGGGAGGCCAGGACGCAGGGGGAGGCCGAGGCCCGGGTGAACGCCGTCCCGCCCGCAGGAGACGCCAGCGAGAGCGCCGAGGACATCTTCTTCCGGCGGGCCAAGGAGGGCATGGGCCAGGACGAGGCGCAGTTCAGCGTGGAGATGCCGCTCACCGGCAAGGCCTACCTGTGGGCCGACAAGTACCGGCCACGCAAGCCGCGCTTCTTCAACCGCGTGCACACGGGCTTCGAGTGGAACAAGTACAACCAGACACACTACGACTTCGACAACCCGCCGCCCAAGATCGTGCAGGGCTACAAGTTCAACATCTTCTACCCCGACCTCATCGACAAGCGCTCCACGCCCGAGTACTTCCTGGAGGCCTGCCCCGACAACAAGGATTTCGCCATCCTGCGCTTCCACGCGGGGCCGCCCTACGAGGACATCGCCTTCAAGATCGTCAACCGCGAGTGGGAATACTCGCACCGCCACGGCTTCCGCTGCCAGTTTGCCAACGGCATCTTCCAGCTGTGGTTCCACTTCAAGCGCTACCGCTACCGGCGGTGATGCCCCGGGGAACGGCAGGCAGGTGTCCTCGGGGGCCGCAATAAAGGGACTTTGGTGAAGCTGACAGTCACTCCAGGGCCACTGTCTGGGCTGAAGGGCCACGGGTTCACGTCTCACCTCAGGCTGCATCTTCCCCTCGCTGGGCCTCTGTTTCCCCCTATGTAAAAGGAGGGTCACCGTAGAGCCTGCCTTGGTGAGCTGAGGACACGCTGGGACAGGCTGGCCCAGGCTCCCAATGCATCGGAGGGGGCGCTGGGGGCATCTTTAGAGCACGAGGGCGGCCAGCAGCCGCCAGCTGACCTCACTGCCCAGGCGGACACACTCCGCCGCCCCTCAGCCAGGCTGGGTGTGGGGTCCACAGGCCCTGCCCCAGGCGGCAGCCACACAGGTGCCCTGGAGATGGGCCAGTGGGGCCCGGGCTTGGCGGCGCCAGGCTTGTGAGAAGCAGGAAACTCAAGGCCAGCCCCGACACATCACGGGGCACCCATTGGGTGTGAGGCAGAGCCCGCGGCTGTGGGGCAGCTCCAGCCCTGCCCACAGGCCACCCTCACCCGCATTGGCAGCATTGAGGCCAGGACGCTGCTGGCACCCAATCCGCCACTGTGGAAGAGACCATCTGTGGACACCCAAATTCTGCAGGGCCCGTCCGCCAACTCACTGTGCTGGCTGTGGCTCCATTTCCCCGCAGCGGGGTGGGGAGGGTGCGTCGGGGTGCCCGTTCCTCTCATGGTCATGGGAACCAAAAGCTACTGAGCCGTTCTCCCCCAGCCTCCGAGCACAGGGCCTGGAGGACAGGGGCTCCCCAAGCCTGGGGGTTGGGGAATGGTGAGGGGCTTCCCCCAGGGATCCCCCCATCTGGCCTGCTCACAGGGCCTTGGGGCAGGAGACCAGTGACCCCGAGTTCTGCCCATGTCAGGACAGTAGCTTCTTCTCATTCCCCCTTCTCAGGCCAGGAGGGCCGAGGGCCACACGGATGCCACAGCCCAGGTTGGAGTGGCCCAGCCGGCAGGCTTGTTCCTTCAGCATCTGACGGGAACATCTCCAATGGAAGCAAAATGGAATGTGCCTCCCGGACCCCCAAAGGGCCACCCAACCTCACCAGTCACCAGCCCCAGACCACCCACAGCCCCGCCCAGACGCCCTGCCTCATCTGGAAATAGTTTCGTTTGTTTCTCTAAAAAGACTTTTGTAGGTGGGAAAAAAGATATTTTATTCTCATGGAACTGGCCTATTGACAAGATTGCATGTTTTTTTAATAAACGTTTTATTTTAGAATAATCTCAGGTTTGCCGAAATGCAGAGTGTAGCGTCCCCAGCGCCCCACACCCGCTGCCCTAGTTGCTGGCAGCGTTTGTGACACGGTGCATTTGTCACAAGGGAAGAGCCTGGGAAGCAACACGGCACCCAACTGGGGCCCGGTGGTCCCTCGGGAGCTGCGTTAGTGCCCGGGTCTGTCTTTGCCCCCCACCCGCTCTGCGTTGCTTTCCACAGTGAGGTGATGGTCCGTTCCCCAGACGACGGGAGGGAGGGTACAAGGGTGGACACAGCTGCCGACCTGGGCCCAGGCTGTTGTGGGGGCAGCGCTTGGCTATGCCTGGAGACATTCATGGTGGTCCCGCCTTGGGGCTGCTCCTGGCGTGGAGTGGGTGGAGGCCAGGGATGCTGCCCAGCGTGCCGCAGTGCCCAGGATGAGCCTCCCCAAATGTCCTCACTGCAGCAGGCAGAGGTGGGAAGTAGATCCTGCACTCCCCCCGGTCACTGGTCACCTCCCAGCCCTGGCCTCTAACAGGATCCCAGGAGTTTCTGGCACAGGGCTTGGGAACTGGCCAGGGAAATGCATCTGATCAGAGTCCCCTCTCCACGCTGCAGACCCTGACCAGCCTCCTCCAGAATCCCAAATTGCATTGCAGCACACACGGCACTGCCATCCCCGGCCTAGCCTTTAGCAGACATCACAAGTCGACAGCAGATGGCCAGAGCCATCTTAGAATCCTTTGGGCAGCCTCTTGGCGTGAGTCCCTGGCCAGCTCCACCGCCGATCAGGACAGGCTGCTGGGAGCAGGGCTGAGTCCGGGCTGGACTCGGGAGGCACTTTTTCTTCTTTTGAGACAGGCTGGAGTACAGTGGCGTGATCGCAACTCTACATCCTCAACACCACAAGGCACTTTTGAGCCCAGAGTGGTGTTTGAGACAGGCTGGGTTCTGTAGTCACAGCCCAGGTTGTGTGTGCGTGGCTGGCGCAGTCCAGCCCGTACCGGGCCTAACCCAGACCTCACACCAGCAATATGTGACAGTATTTACTTCCATTTGGCTGCTTGGGAAACTGAGGCCCACAAAAGCCCACGTTTTCGAGCCCAGAAAGTGGCAGAGCCAGTATTAGAAACTGGGTTTCTCTACCTTGGAGAATGCCAATCCCAGACCACCATCCCTGTCCCTGCCTCAGTTTCCCCACCCGCCCCTGCAGAGGTCTCCCCAGCCCCAACATCCTGCTCCCTCCTCCTCACATGCCCTTTGCACCCCAAGGGAGATGGCTGTCGTCTAACTGGCAAGGCATATGATTTGCCAGAGGCTTCCCAGGGCAGGGGGCACACAGGGCTCAGGCCAAGCTAAGGAACCTGGGGGAGCAGGGCACCAGGGAGCTACGGAGGGCATGTGAGCCGGGGAGGGCCTCCGAGCTGGGTGTCAGGGAGACTCTGTAGGCAGACTGGAGGTGGGGGCCAGGGTTAGGCTCTGCACACCCCCACCCCATCTGCCCCATGACTCCCAACCCTGGCCCCAGGTTCACCCGGTGTCCTGGAAGCTGCTCCGCCCCCACCCCAACTTCCTGACTTTAGCTGTGTCCAGAGCTAAGAATAGAAGCTCCCTGCCCGGTCCTTGCGGAAACCGCAGCCGCGGGGGGCACATCCTGAGCCTGGCCTCTGTTCCCACCATCTGCCCCCCAGCCCCTCACAACTCCTCCCACCAGAGCCTCCTGTGCTCCCATTGAACCCGAGGTGCCTGTTGGGGGCGGGCCAAGACCAGGAGACCTCCAGCAACCAGCCCCAGACGACTGGGAAGCCCAGCGCTCATGTTCCAATCCCACACGTGGGCGTGGCATCGTTCCCCATTCATGCCTCAGTTTCCCCATCTCTAAAATATAGAGTATCTTTACCCCCTGCCTTGCAGAGATGTGGTGAGACTTAAGCTAAATGCAAGTGTCATTCTCTGAACCCTGCCCAGGCTGTTTCCCCGAAGAGACATTGTCCTTGTTATCTCAGGGCCAAGGACGGAGGAAGTGGGGACAGGACAGCCTTCCTCCACCTCTCACTGCCCCCTCATCTAGAGCCCCAGCCCCACATCCTCCTCCCCCCACATCTGCCCTCCTTGCAGTTAGTGTAGCAAGGGCCTCACGCTCTCTTTTGCCTCCAAAGCTTTATACATGCATTTCCTGTCACTGCCATGTATCCCAGACCTGGGGAGCTCCTATTCATCTCACAAAACCCCACTTCCCATGCCCGCTCCTCACAAGATGCCTTCCTAACTCACCTCTGGGCTTCCCTAGACCCTGTCACTTCCTTTGGCCCAGCCCTGACTCCAGGGGGCTGGAACAGTCTGTGTCCAGTTCTTTCTCCAGCCTAGGGCATCCTGAAGGGCAGACCTGGTTTCAGGTCTCACTTGGAGCTCATAATTGTCCCACTGTATAGGCTGGAACACAGAGAGGCGTTGGGGAGAGTAAGACTTGGAGATTCAGGTCGGCTTCACAGAAGAGCGGCCGTGGAGCCAGGGTTTTGCCAGATCCATAGGAGTTGGACGGGCTCCTTGCCAGGGAAGACAGAAGTTGTGTTAAATGGCTGGTGACTCAATGGGATGGAGCTTCGGGAGGGAGATTGGGTGTGGCTGAAGGCCAGGAGGAGGAAGGATAGTGGGCGGGGTAGCCGGGGAAGGGGCTTCCGGACTGGGCTGACGAGAGGACCGGGCCAGGGTGGGAATCCCCCTCACTCAGCCTGGACTTGCAGCCCTCCCGGGCCCAGGGGACTGGGTGGGGTGGAGTCAGGGCCAGGCCAACTTGTCCGGTCCCTAACTCAAGGTTGTGTCTGGCTCTGGTGTGCAAACAAGGCCAAGGAGGCCAAAGGACCCCCCTCTGCAAAGAGATGGTCCCAGGCCCTGTGTCCCGCACCTTCTCAGTCATTCCTGTCCGGCTCCATTCCCTCCTTCCCCAGCCTGAGCTGGGGGTGGGCAGGAAAGAGTGCCCATCCCCCACTGCCGCCGCCCGGCTCCAGACCATTCCTCCTCTGGCTCCAAAGCCACCTCCCAGCCTCCTCCTCAAGAGACTCTCCCATGCAATGCCATCACCCCAGCCCTCCCGGCTCACCTGCTCTGGGACCACCTTTCTCAGTCTGGCTGTGGAGTCTGGTGCAACCCCCATTCCTCTGTCCTCCTACCCCACCCCTGGAAGGGGCCTCAAACACGTCCTGCATGTATTAAGCAGGGCATAACACTACTGTGTGCCGGGCTTCAGCGCACCCAGTGCATTTGGAGCCCTGGAGTCTGGGTGCCCCCGGGGCGCCGATCCGCCTGGACCTGCCCTGCCCCCTCCAGGCCTTGGGTGCTGCCCAGATGGTGAATAATGCGGGCCTGGCGGCGGGAGCGCCGGGAAGAGGCCTGGCAGGGCGCTGGGCGGCTGGAGGGGCTGAGGCTCCCGAGGAGGGGCCCCTGCCACCCCCACCGCAGCCACTGCATCCCTGCCACCTGCGGCCTGGGGGGTCCCAAGGGCGCCGCCTTCCCCAGCGGGGAAGTCCCGGCGTGCTGGGGGCACCCACTGACCCCAAGTCAGCCAGGCCTGGGCCCGAGGGGCGTGGCCAGCGCAGGGTGGGCGGGGCTGATGAGAGACAGCGAGAGACAGAGACAGGACGGAGAGAGCGAGCCGCGGGCTGCCAGCGGCCCCTACCCGTCCCAGCTCGGCTTAGCCCCCGCGGACTCCTCCAGGCCGCGCCCCCGGGGCATCCTGTGCCGCCACGTCCTCCATCTGTGTCCCGCGGTGACGGGGCAGCGCCAGGGTCCTCTGCTGGGCCCGCCCCTGGCCACAGCCAGACTGACTCAGTTTCCCTGGGAGGCCCCACTGGATTCCGTCCTTCCCTTCCCTCTGCCTGCCCCCAGCCGTCGCCCCAGCCTCGGCGCCCGCACATCTGCCTGGACCCCCGTGCGCAGGATCCAGCCAGGTGGGAGCCCGGCAGATGAGGTCTCTGAAGGTGAGGTCGCCCTGCCGGCTCAGGGCGGGATGCGCTGCTCTGGCTTGAGCCCGGGCTGCTGGGCGCATCCGGCGCTGGCCCTGCCCTGCTGTGGGTGTGTCCAAAAGCCCGCGGTTACAGCGGCCAGGTGCCAGGTGTCCCCCGTGTGGCCCAGGGGTGGCATGGGTGCCCTGAGGCCTGCACTGGGCGCCCAGGCAGCTGGATCTGGGTGTGGCCCAGGCTGATTCTGTTGGGGGTGCTCTCTAGTCTCTGTGGGGCCACATGGCTGTGAACAGGGGTCCCAGACTCAGGTGGCTGCAGCTGGGGAGGGGGCCCAGGCCCTGGATGTGGCAGGGATCGAGTGTGGTTGTGTGGCTGTGTGTGTGTGATTTTGTCTCTGGGAGTGAACCATGCGTGGCTCTGGTTGTGTGACTGTGTCTGTGCGTGTGTGGCGGTTGTGTGTGTGTGACTGTGTGTTTGTTTCTGCCGAGCGTCTGGGACTGTTAAACATTATGTGTTCATCTGTGCATCTTTCTGTTTGTGTGTGTTTGTGTGTATCTGTGCACCTGCTGTGTTTCTGCCTGTGTGTCTGTGTTTTTCTGTCTGTGTCTGTCACATTTCTGCCTGTGTGTCTATGTGTGTCTCTGTGTGTGTCTGTGTCTGTCGTGTTTCTGCCTGTGTGTCTGTGTTTTTCTGTCTGTGTCTGTCACATTTCTGCCTGTGTGTCTATGTGTGTCTCTGTGTGTGTCTGTGTCTGTCGTGTTTCTGCCTGTGTGTGTGTTATGTTTCTGCCTGTGTGTGTCTGTGTGTCTGTAGTGTTTCTGCCTGTGTCTGTCTGTGTGTGTCTGTGTGTTGTGTTTCTGTGTGTGTCTATCTCTGTGTGTCTGTGTGTCTGCCATGTTTCTGTATGTGTGTCTGTGCATGCCTGTGCATCTGCTGTGTTTCTGTCTCTCACCTTTCTGCCTGTGTGTCTGTTGTGTTTCTGTGTGTGTCTGTGTGTGTCTGTGTGTCTGCCATGTTTCTGTGTGTCTGTACATGTCTGTGCGTCTACCTGCTGTGTTTCTGTTTGTCACATTTCTGCCT